AAAAGAAGAAGAAGAAGAAGAAGAAGAAGAAGAAGAAGAAGAAGAAGAAGAAGAAGAAGAAGAAGAAGAAGAAGAAGAAGAAGAAGAAGAAGGATAGGGATAACAACTGTATGAATGAAATCAGTAACATAAAAACAAAAACTTCAAACTGAGGCACATCATAAATGCCCTGTTTTAATGGATGACAAAATAAGTTGTTCAAATTATAGTATGACCGATTTCATGATTTTTCCCCCTCAGGGCACAGATGCAGGTAGCATCAAAGCAGCTGATGTGATGGGTCTCTTTATGACCACCCTGACAGCTATCTTGCTTGCGAGATGAACGTGAAGAATTTGTGACAGCGATTACATATCTGTATGATATCAGCCAAATCAGTACGATTTTTAACCAGAAATCTACTGAGAAATACATTTATTTGACCCAAGCAAAGTTTCTAACCCTTTGGACAGTTTTAGATTTCCCAAAAGTTGTGTACTGAGGTTAATAAAAAAGAGTGGTAAACCATAACATAAAATCCTCAGGGTTTTTATTTCTTTTTCTTTTTGAGCAACCTTTCTAAACCGAACGCCCCGCCCCCAAAAAACAGCCAATAAGATTTTTAAAGACAAAAATCTTTTTAATCCGGTGTATTTTTGGTTTTATGATAGGGCCTACTCTCCTGTAATTCTCACATTTTGGCTCGCGGTAACTCTGCAAATTCTTTTTTTTTATATTTTGGTTAGAGTTTTACGGCACCTGGTCACAGAAATTCCGATCTGCGACTTCTGCCTGGTTTTCCGTTTCTTGTAGGCCTGCCTTTAAAAGTTAGCCTAGAAATGTGAGCAGTGCCAGGCTCAATTCCAGTGGAACAAGAAGAATTGTTCTTAGTTGTGTAATTTCTGAACTTTTGTCTCTCGTAATCCTGGGACCTTCCTTGTGATATCTGTTGACTGTTGTTTACTATGTACAGTGCATTCACCTTGTTCGTATTTCTGTGTTTTTTAAAATCATGATTATACATGTAATAAGCATCAATGAGCTATCTTGATTATTTGTTTTATTGTTTAAGTAAAAGTTTTACGGCACTTGAAACACAATAAGATTATTTAGGCCTATGTAAGTGCCAAAAAATCAGAGGTTGGTGTTACAAGAGAGAAACAAACAAAAAAGGAGGAGAGATCAGGAAGATAGATGTTTGATAGGAAAGAAGGAGCAATCCACACTAGAGCATCTGCAAACCACT